AATCACGTGTGATCATGTGAGCTGCTAATTTTTGAACTGATTCAAGTTGACTTTCCAAATTAGCGAAACTAGTGTCATACAAAGCACAGGCGTAATCTAATTTAGCTAATAAGCATGTTTTATAAATTTGTAGACGAACTGAAGAGGGTGCATTTTTAAATTGACTGTACATGGCGCCTAGTCGTTTTCTACAATTTAGTATAAAATCTTCAATATGTTCGCGCCATCGCAGATTAGAACTGACTTTAAGGCCTAGGAGTATAAGGGAAGGTTGGTGTGTTATGGTTGTACCATCACTCAGTGTGAACTCTAATTTCTGGAATCCTCAACTCGTCGATTCTTCGAATCCTTGAATCCTGGAATACTATCATCCTGGAATTCCCGAATCCTGAATTTCTGAAATTCTCGACTCGTCGATTCTTCGAAACCTGGAATCCTCGAATCCTCGACTCGTGGATTCCTCGCATTCGGGAATCCTTGAAGCCTGTAATCCTCGATTCGTCGATTCCTCGAATCCAGGGAAAACTGCAGCCCTCGTTCCGGCAGTAAACCCCTAGAAGATGATTCTTCGCAACTCCGGCAAAATACGCCCCTCTCCATTGCGGGTAGGCATCATTTTACGCAGTTTTTGACGCTCTTTCAAAATGGAGTAAGTCTCTTTATGCGCCATCGCTTTTATTTTTGCGCTGATACAGTGTGAGAAAAATGTGAAAATCTGGCCGAAAGGAGCAAGATACTCCTGGCCCGTTAAGGCCATATTGCCTCGTCAGGCAATATATCTGGCCAGGACGGGCATTGTTGTCCGGTTGGGCCAGAAAGCGTGACAACGGACTGTCTATAATGGTACAATTTCAAACGTATTCTGCTAAAGGGAAGAATAGGTTTTATGCGAGAGATGTAATTGAGGAGGACGGAACTTCCAAGAGCTTTTTTGACGATGTTGGGTATCGAACTTTTGTCTTTCTCAACATCTTTTTGTTTTTTATATTTTTTTTAGTTTCAGAACCTGAACTTCAGGCTTGGCTATTTCCAATGAGAAAATAATTAACCCTTCAGCACCCTGGCAACATGCAGAAATAATGTGCGGCATTTAATACAAGAGTTTTCCACCACGTGTTACATCAACTAAAAGTACGATTTTGAAAGTCCTCGTATATCACAAGCAGCAGTAAATCTTTCGTGAAGAGATTGATTTTCATTTTTATTCCATTCGTCTAAAAGTCGTACTATAATTGTCTCAGTCATAACACAGTGTTCATTAGCCTGTTTTGGAATAGATGAATGCATTACAGAGAATATTTATTTACAATTTTTTAATTAAACTTCGAATTCTAAATCGATTTCTTTTTGATTACCAATACCAGTGAAGCATAAATTCCACTCTGTTTGTAGATTAGCTGTATTGTAATTAGTATGAAATTCAATATTTATGTTAATAGAAAATGGTTGCAAAGCTGTTGCTGTGAAACGGTAAGGGGCTGAATTAAATGTGCATAGTTGTGTTTCAGATGTACTGATTGTAATTTCTTTAATAAACCTTCCAATATCCACTTCGTCCTCATCGTCCGCAAATCGAATATATAATGTCCAACGATGCATTTTGACTTCCTGACCAATGTTGGCTAGTGCGTGATGATTTCCAATTAATAGTTTCTTCATGACACTCAGTTTACGTTCGCTTTCTAGACGATCTTGGTCAACTTCTAATTTTTTTTCGAAATATTCATTTCCATAGCGAGTTTCTAGCAAATATTTTAATATTGAATTTATCTGAATGGTGTTATTTTGAAGGTAAGACAAGTTCACACGGCACATAGGACAGCCCACTGATATGTCGCTTGATTGTAGAAATTGTTTTAAACATGACAAACAGTAACTGTGACCGCACAATATTGTTACTGGTTCCACCAAAACTTGTAAACATATAGGGCAGTGGCATTGTTCATCAAACATTTCATAGACTTTTTTTATATTTTGGTTATAACGACTATTATCTGTTGAAACTGTTTTTAATCCAATATTTGAAGTCATGTTGTGCTAATCTAGAATTATGGAGGAATTGAACCATGACTTTGATTAATAAACATGTTTTCAAGCATAAGAGAATAGGTGGTTCATAGCTCAACTTGAAATGAGAATTCAATGTTTCTCTATTATCAGATACTTGCTGTTGTAGAAAATATTGTTGATAAACAATATCTGATTCGTGAGATATACTCGTCATTCAATATGATAAATCTTCTTTTCAATTCAACTACCAGTAGAAGGTTTATAAGAAGTAAGAAGAAAGATTTACTTTTGGAATTTGGCGATCCCTCCTCTTGTTGGCCACTTAGAAAGCTTTACTCTCATGGTGTCAACAAACATTATCATGGACTTTCCAATCAAGAAATCTTAAAGCTTTTTATGTAATCGAGAGAAGAGTAATTTAAAGGATCGAGATGGTCACCAGATTTAAACAAGACCGTTAAAATTATTATTTTATTATTATTATTAAATTATTATTATTTTATTAATAAAAAGATATATATATAGGAAATTGATACACATCGTATAGAGAACTCTTTTTATTTTCTTTCTATAGACTATCTGTGCCGACGTTATAACTATACGATCCGAAGGAAAGGTATTTAAAAGCGGATTATTTAATAATGAACTATTTTGACCATTCTATTACTCATCTTGTCTTTTTGGCCATATAACAATAAAGGGATATATCAGTAAGTTAATCTCTTCTTCCTCGTAAAACGTTCACTCTGTGCCGACTGATGTTAGACCATGTTTGACAACACCGTTTCTATACGACGCATTCGACTGCCAGCTACACTAGGAAAAATGTTTCTTAAAAATCACGTACTCAAGTACTTGCTTGACTAATCATTAAAAAGAATCTAAACTGCAAGTACCAGTATCGCAAATTTGTACTCAGGTACTACTCCTACTCGTCCAACTCTGATTCTTATCACTGATCGCTCTTGTAACAGTGTCTACAGACCTGTGTTATCTATGGGTGGCCTTCCACTATCAATATTTCGTTGGCGAACAGTTCATACGTTGTCGCTCAAAAAAGGCTTTTAGAGACCACGCTCTAAGTCTAAACGAAAAATTCTGACAGAAAATATTTGATTGTATTACAGAGCTCCGACACGAGCACTCTTAAATTCAGTTAACCCGTGAAACAGGTTTCTGTTAGAACGTAGTCAAATAAATGGTAGTGCTTTGCAGAAAAGGGTTTTGTAGAACAATGCTTCGTCAGTCTTATGGGCTGAGTGACTCTTTGGGACGACGTGTTATAACAGGACGGATCCAGTTGCTAGTTTATGCATTTTGACCCGTTGTTTTCTTTTCGTTTCTTCAAATTCTCACAACTTTTCCCGCCTAGACCAGGAGTCACGCAAACTTCGCAGACGTTTTACGAGATTGAGGGAACATTGCTCTACCAAACTCTCTTCTGAAAAACACTATCCTTTATCTGACAACTTTCTAACAGAAAGCTTTTCCATGGGTAGGGCACTATCGTATCACAACTAGAAGGGCTTAACCTATCCAATGCTAGACCTTCCCAAAGAAATATGCTAAAAGGAACATGCTGCCTTCTGGCTGAGTAACAATACGTACCGTTGCCGCATATATGTCAGATACTCAATAGTACATCTAGCTGCTAAGCTTACATTCCTTCCTTGCGCTTCACAAAAATAAAAGTAATTTCAATCACACCATGTTTTATATTGTTTTTCATTATATCTTCAAGTTTAGCTTCCATGGGAGTAAATAAATATTTCCGATGATTCTTATTGGAATGTGGGAAGAAATGATGCTCTAACATATAAGGTTTCATCCAACATAACAGGTGAAAAATCCAGCGAGCAGTATTTATCACACTGGAAATTATTCATGTTGACAACGTCAATAAAGCTATTATTTGTTTCAATTTTCTTCTTTTCTTCTCTTCCAGCCCCCACTTACCTTTTGACGTAATGACAAACAGAACAAATATTGTGCGTACTCTATTATTCTTATTGACATTGATTTTATGTTGTCAGAAAACTGTTTGAGACTTTGGAATCTACCTGCAGCACAAACTGAGGACCAGCAGCTGCAAGAAAAAGGTATTATTGGAAAATATATTCAACTTCTGACGAAGGAACCACTAGAGGTTATAAACCGATTTGAGGTTGGGAGTGTTTTTGTTAGACAGGCCCTAACGAGTAGTGAAATATCTCAACTTGGTTCATCTCCATGGTGTTATGTTGCCGAGATACTGAATTTTTACTCACTTTTTGCCTATAGAGCTTGGATTCCGAGGAAAGTCCAACTTTCAAATTTCGATTTCACACTTGCCACACTTGTAGCCCATAGTCATAGTAGTATGATGGAAAAATATTCGGTGCTAATGAATTTTCATGCCTTGAGATTGAGACCGTTATCGAACATTCATATTGCGATGACATCAATCATTACGTGTACTTGAAGTTTATGTGTTTTTCCAAGAGTACTAATAGAGATTTCGCCGAAATAGCACAAATTCGTATAATAAGATCAAAATGCTTTTTAAAGTGTTGACTTTCGAATAATGAGCAATAAAGACACTGGCAAGGTGAAACGTCCGGCGTTATGACGCGTTTAGTAAAATCCTCATAGTTTAGTATAAAAGTTTATTTACATTTTGTGCAAGCAATATCATCAAGCTCATTTCTCTACATCATCTGTAATTATGCATTTATTCTGACACGAACTATATAAAGACAAAATTTCATCTCCAAAATGTGGTTTGTTTAAGTAACCACTGACATTCTAGATCGTGAAACTGCTAACGGAAGTCACTATTTCAACACCATTATTGTTATTATACGCATCTATCCATGGGGGCCACCCGAGCTGCTTGAAGTCATGAAACAGCTATTGGCTGTTCAGTATAGCTGCTGGTAGTAGAGGAAAAAGACGTTTTGGTAGCACAATTACCCTTTATGATAATTTATAGGATAACCAAATGCATGGATATAAGTTAATTCCGTTGAGCATAGTTCCACCTTCAAATATTTAAAAATCCGCGCGTCAGACGCGTCTAGTTAAAAGTTCCTTTTCCAACTAGTAATCTGGATGGCAACTAGTCGTGTAGTGCCCAATTATAGATGAAATGTATCATCGGTGATATTTGCTTGGGTTTTAAGAATTTAGAAACTTCATTTCAAATGATCAATTCTATAATTATTTTATTTATACCTTAAGTTCGTAGTAGCAGTGAATGGCTCAGGGCTGTTATGGAGATTTCATTCAACATAAACTTTTCAACGGGTACGATAACGTCAGCATATCATATTTTAGAATAGACGATTAATGCAAATATTCCCTTTTTAGGAGGTCCTTTACTCTTTTTACTTTGAGTTTATTGTTCTCAGGCATTGAATATGATTTTGTTTTAAGAAATATCATGTTGTACGTTAATATCGGAGAACTGATATTCTGAACTGGTATTCTGATACATTATGAGATGATAAATAAAAACTTTTTACTTTGTCAAAGTTGTCAGTTACCCAATAAAGATATAGAAGAAAAAGATTACATATGGTGGATCGTTTATCGATAATAAATGTAGTAGGCCTGTAGATAGTGTTTTCTTTAGCATACGATACTAATGATGTCATGCTTCGGGACGTTGGGAAGTTTCTAATAGATAAAACATGTATGACAGGTATTTAACTACCTGCGCATCATACAGGTAAGGCGCACACAATGCAAAATTCGAGCAGTTTTTATTTTTCAACAGAAGGTACATATTCTGATGCAGAATTCCATGCTGATCACGAATATGGCCTTAAAAGTTCAAAAAAACCTTTTCTTTGGGAAGAAAATTGCAAAATACTGTGAGCCACCAAAAACTTTTAAAATCTTTGACCTTCCGAAAATCCCTCATAATTTTTTTTTGGAAGCTCCTATCGACTCACACTTTGTTTTTGTTGGATTCCTCGTCGAAAACTGAGTCTAGCCCAACCAATTTCAGATTGAAATACCGTAATCTGAAACTTCGGCGAAGCTCAAAACCGAAAGACCTAAAAAATGAGGTCCCTCCACCAAAAACCTATCTAGTTTTTCTGATAAGGAGCTAACTCATTGAATCTTATGCCATTCGATAGCCCTATGTGCCAGCTATAAAATGACGAGGGGGTTTTAGGAAAAAAAAAGTTTTCGCCGAGAAAATTCATTTTTTCTAAATAAGAGGCGAAAAACTCGGAATTCTGACCGTAATTCCCAATTTTCTCGATCAGAACTCAACTTTTGAACAATAAAATATCATTTTCGGAATCAGAATCAAAAACTGAGCCGATTGATATGTATTTCGTAAGTTTTAATTGATTTTCAATTTTGAGTGAAAATCTTGGTAATTTTTCAACATGAAAATTCGACATGAATCTGTTATATAAGTGGGAGAGAAACATTTGAGGAAGAGTGTACGAAGCCCAATAGTTCCTGTTTTCTAATGTAGGTTTTTTTCCAATAGACTGAAACTGGTGCAGATTTAATTAAAGTCTGATGAAAATTTGGAGCAAAACATATTAGATTGTTCCTATTAGCGATATATAGTCTCTGTGTCTCGATGACACTGAGCATGCTTTTTTTCTATCACAAGACGGAAAGGGATCTGTTAAGATATTGCGTCATTTCAGATAAAGATGAAGAACATTCAGTTATTGTTGTTGTTAGTCCTTCTGAGTATTGGTTATGTCTTCGATCAAAAATATGAGATAAATTTTGACAATGAATCAAGTTAAAGCGACAGCAAGGAAATGCGAACATTAGCAGCGCCAAACTGGATCCACCGCTGACGAATATAAATCATGACGCGTACGTGCAATCCATCATCGATTATTGGACACCAGAAAAAATGCAAAATGCGAAGCCAATGCCGATAATTCGAAGTTCAGAAGCTGCTACAAATAAATTAGACCAAAAAGTTTATATAATTATCGAGATATTACGTTTTTGCAGATAATAACAACTTTATTGTACTCTTCATTAATTAGACAATATGTTATTTCCGATATACATTCTTATTCAGAATCTAGAACAATAATAGAAACCAATCAGCAAAAACTAGAATGCTCACGAATAACACAAATACTAGAAACTGGGTTCTTAGCATTTTATATCTGGCTCGATGATCATCGGATATTTTCAAAAGGTTTTTTACATTATAACGTAGAAAATGTTTGATATACTATCCTGTTTCAATAGTACACTTTTTCAAACTGGAATGGTTTGCTTTTACACCCACTTGCATATTTTGGATAGTTTTGGAACTGCACGATGTAAATGTTGATGACATGACTTTTGTTCTACGAAGTCTTTTTCTATGAGTTCTTTTCACACTTACTCGCACCCCTTTTACTGTCATCACATTTCAGTTCAGGGAAGAGCCATTTCGCTGAAAAGTCGATTCGAGGAAGAGTCATGTCATGATGAATGTTCATTTGTCTTTTACTCTTCCACAATTCAACTTTTTTCGTGTCTGAATTGAAAAAGCCTCCTTGACTCACCTTGATGTTAACACATTCCATAGAGCGATGAAAGGAATTCATTGCCTCGAGCTCCAACTAGGTCAGTGCTGACAAAGCGAAAAGAATGTTTTAATATTGCCTGAATTATTACTGCTTTTATTGATAAAATGCCGTAAACCCAGTCTGTACATCACACTTGAAGTAAACACGCCAGGATTTGGCAACGAAACTGGTCAACTTCAAAAACATCATCAAGACCCTACTATTAAGTATTTGACTTATAATTAATATTGCCTATACCACAGAGCGTTCTAGCTTTTATTTGGGTGCCAGCACTTTACGGCATAGAATACAACTGACACTATAGATACTTTTTAGATCAATATTAATCAACTATCGCAAGGTTTTTTCTAACTGAGATAGATTTTCATCCCTTAAAATGTTTCGAACATGTTCGGCAAAATCATACAGCTGTATTTGCAAACAACATAGTGGAAAACTTCTGATTTAAATCTCATCAAGTGGACATTTCTTTCATTATTTCAAGTCTTCTAGAAATAAAAGGACATTCTCCTCACCGCTTCTTTCTCGTTACACTTCCATACAGTGTGGAGACATATCTCGATCTGGATATCTTTTTTACAGTAAAATATTTTCAATATCCCGAATGGGATATAGTTTGAAATTATAGCCTAATCAGAATATAATTCGATATCCCGATTGAGATATCAAAAAATCTATATCCCGACAAAACATTTTCGTTGGTTAGTGTAATTTTTACCTTTCACATTAACATGTTTTTCATCAAATCTAATCAGTATGAAAGGGTGTTGCCCTACTAGGCAATATGAGTATAAGTGAGTTGTAAACAAGTTGTGATTCACTTACAAAAACCATAAGGCGGTTTATCTGTACGAATCAACAGTTGGTAATTTCCCTGTGAAACCGAAAGCAAGTATACTTATATATTGTCGACGCTTGACAAACGAAATGTGTGTTTCGATATGTGTGTGCATCGAAAAGGAAGAAATAAAAATAAGCTGCGGAAAGTGATTAGATCAAGAGTGTGTCCCATTCTGAGCAGTGTGTGTGTCCCATTCGGGACATAAAGTCGACTAAAATTCGATAAAAATTTTTATTCGAAAAAATAGTTGCTGGGTGCTTTATACACTTTTAGTCAAACACAACAGAATCCGATGTAGTTTTTCGAGCTCTTTCTAATGATGAGATCAATTTTCCCCCATAACGTCGTCATTCTTCCCTTAATCGTTTTTACGACGAAATTTTGTTTTATATCCCGATTGGGATATTAATTCTTTCCTATGTCCTGATCGGGCTATAGGAGGTATCCCCTAACTGCCATAGAATCTATATCTCATCAACTTGATACAATATTTTAAACCACTGTAAACATGCTTATTAGCAAAGCCGAATACAAACAGAGAAATCAAAGCGTCTATACTGTCAGCGTGGCCGAGTGGTCTAAGGCGCCAGACTCAAGACATTTGTCTTCCTTCCTATGCAGAAGGTGTGCGAGTGATCTGGTCCTCGTATGAGGGCGTGGGTTCGAACCCCACCGCTGACACTCTTTTTCTCATTTCGTATTTATTCAAAGAAACATCAATTTTTGACTTGTTATCTAACCAAACTCTTAATTATAATATAGCTGAATATAATTATTCCTAATTTTTGAATAACGTTTGCAGAAAGTGCTCGAGATCTCTGCGATTTCGTGAAATTGAAACAACACACCTGATAGTACTCAACGGATGATTTCTAAATAGAGAAATCAATGCAAAACAGCTGCTGGCTGGATTATCGTAGTTGATCAGGAGATACAAAAAATTAGATCACGATCTATCGGACTTATCATTTTTCTTCTGCTTTCTTTCTCTATGTGATTTAATAAAGTGAATGGTATTAATTTTGACCGAAAGAAGATACACCAAAAAAAAATGTCGATCATACGAAAATGTTGAAAAAAAATGCTGAAAGAAAAATGTCGAAAAAAGACTATCGAAAAGTCTTTCAGCATAAAGTTTTATGCAATACAAATATCATCTTCGGAGTTAGTGTCAACAACAGAGTCGCATGACATATATTTCAAAATGTTTCATTGATTTTCATGTTTTGGTGAAAATCCTACGAGGAAACCTATCCAAGTGATACCTTCCGATTTCGTTCGTTCATACTGTAAGCCTTGTTTTCTTGTCCGTTGGTCAGTGAACAAATGTTATATTGTGATTTCTTCTGAATTAACCTTTTAATATCCCAAGGTGAATATAACCGATACACTCACACTTTATTGTAAAAAATCATTAAATTAATGCTCGTATCTCCAATACTCGTATCTCCATCGATATCATTTGGTGGCAAATAATATTCATTGCAATTGGCTTCGGTATTATCAGTGCTAGCTGAAATAAGACCCTGATTGACGTCCGTCAATGTTGGTAGGTCAGGATAAATCGACTAAACAGTATAAGTCGTTATACCTGAATAAAAGAATATTATTAAAACTGTTATACATCTGTGGATTAATAAAACTATGAGCAAATTTCTCGGGAAAAAATTACAAAGACTTCTACGAGAAGGTCTTTCTCAAATACAGATACTAGATGCAGCGAAACGATGCATTTTGTTACCATCTTCTCTATTATTACGGCGGTGTCTACATTGACATGGACATTGGCTGCAAGAAACCGTTATCACCGCTTCTGCAGTCAGTTGAGTTTGTGGCCGCCGGACAACAGACTAATATTGCAGTTTTTCCACAGACACTGCCTTTTGTCGTTTCCACCGCTTTTCTGATCTCAACTCAACACCACCCGTTTTTTAAACGAATTATCGAGCGAGAGTTGAAATCCTCTAAGTACAAATACCTTCTATCGAATTATCTACCGGTGCTATTAACTACCGGGTCCTTATTTCTGACTCGCCAACTCTATACGTTTCCTTCTGGGAAGGGCTTGTACATTCTTGACCATGCTCTGTACAATGGACAGACTGCGAAAAGTTTCACACGACTTTCACACGGTTCTACGTGACATGACAGTAATGCAAAATTTATTTTGTTTGTATATCAGAAGTGGAATGCTGTTTTTGCATGTTGTATGTAACTGAGATTTCTTTAGAAATCAAAGTTTGTTCACTTAGTAAAACGGATTTTTTTGAGAGTAATCTCATTTGAAACGGTAAACCGGATGTCGGGCAATAGGGTATTCGGCAATGCCGAAATTCCACTTTTTTTTAGTTATTGTCCAAGTGCAGTGGAAGTTAGGCAATATAATTTTAGCTTGTCTTATAATTAAAGTGCTGAGAGTAATTTTGTTTTAAATTGCACAGCGGTCGTAAAATGTGGACAAGGGCTAGTCCGCATATTATGTCATCAAATTCAAAGCGCGTCAGTTTTTTTTGTGTTTTAGTTCGTTGTCTAAATTGCAATGGTCGTAACGCGTTCACGTTCAGCTACTACACATTTGCAGCAGCAGCCATCACAGATGCTATTAACAGCAACTTCGAACACGTCTCCATCATTACAGCAACCACGGATACCAATGTTTAATTACACGTCACTAACTCCACGAATGCATAATTTTGATTCAGAAGATGTTGAAAATTTGAATGAATGTGTCGAAGAAAAACATACAGCTTCTGCTAATCAATCATCTGCGGAAGAACCAGAATCATGGCCAGTTCCAATTGGTAATATTCAATGGACAAAAATTAAAGATATATGGATCAAGTATTAATGTGTGGATATACGTATTATTTTATGTCACAATCGGAGAAAAATGACACAATCAACTTTCGTTGTTCTTATAAGACGAAAGGTTGTAATTCCATTGTACGTATGCATTTGCATTCCAAATCATTTCTTCTGTCAAATAATGTAAATCATAATCAACCTCCTCATGAAATTGCGAATAAACGCAAATTGGTGTTAGATAAAATTAAAGAACGTACCGTGACAGAACCAACAAGTGTCGTAGCCATTATAGAACAAGAATATGCTAAAGCAAATTTGGCCAAAGATGAACAGTATCAATTGTTGTTGCCATCTGCACAAGGTTAGTGTAAGATCTAATGTTGAAGTAATGTTAGAATTTGCATAGTTAGTTTAGCGTTGACAATGCATAAATTACATGCAAGCCAAGTTCCACCGAATCCAGATGATCAGTTACTCGACGTGCTAGCACTCTTTAAACTATGCCATTGTTTTGGTGTCTAACGTCCGCTCGAAAGGAAATTGTTTTTACATAAAATTGCTGAAAGTTTTGAAAAAAAAGGCAAAACGATTAGGTTTAACATTCTCGCCACCTCATGCCTTTACTGATTTTGAATCTGCTACCATTGGTGCTTTGGAAAAATTAGTGAGTTCTAAATCAAAAACAATTCTCGCTGCGCGTTTTTTGAGTTGCACTTAATTGACAACTTTCTATTTTGTATTGTATTTTAGTTTTCAGACCTTGAAATTCATGAATGCTGGTTCCATTTCACTCAGGCCATACATCGTAGAATTCAAAAAGAAGGTTTGGTCGATTTGTACGAAAGTAATGCTGATGTAAAAATGTGGCTGCGTAGTTATATGGCACTACCTTTGTTGCTTCCAAGTACTCTCGATGAAGCTTGATGCAATATCATATTATATGGTCGAAATAAAAATTCATAATCAAGGACATCTTAAAGGGCGCCAACAAATTTTGCAAGCCTATCTAGTTTTTTCTGTTAAGGAACGAAGCCCTGATTTCCACTGCATTCGATTCTGTTTTTTATCCTGGTTCCAAATATGGTACTTTCATTGCATAAAAGTTGAGTTCTGATGGAGAAAATAGAGAATCACGAGCACAGTTGCTTATTTTTTACCTCTGATTTAGAAAAAGTGAATTTTTTCATCAACGGAAAGGAATTTTAAAAGAGAGCTTTGTACTTTTTTTGCCCGCAAAAAGGCGAATCGAATGCAGTGTAAATCAGGGCTCTGTTCCTTGACAGAAAAACTAGATAGGTTTGCAACGCTCTCTAATATATTCTTGATTATGGATTTTTATTCTGTTAAATGTGAGAATATACTTGCATGATTCTACTCCGTTTCACAAAATTCTCCTGATTTCGGCAAAATTTTGTGGAATGTGTTGGTAAATTGGATTGGGTTTTGCAGTTGAATTTTGATTGAATTGAGGATAAGTTTTCGCCAATGCAAAGCTATGGATTTTTCGCTAATAATAGTTTACTGATCCATGTAATGCACACTCCATATATTAATCTTTTTGCTTGGATGACCTGCATATTTCAATAATTTGGTTCGAAATACCATCAAATCTAATTTTGTGTACCGAATTAAACCATACAAAGCTTTTTGAACTTTGACCTAACGAGGTAACTTCTCTAAGTATGAAATTGCGTTTGTGCTGAAACCTAGTGGGTTATAGGTAATCGTACGGTGCTGATTCCGGTTATCACCATGCCGTTTGTCGCTAGATCTTTAGAGACTCATTTTCTGGAAAACCCGTTTTTCAGAAACTCTAAAACATAACTAAAACCTTTCTTAATGAGTCATGATTGTAGCCCGCAAATTTCTGATTAAAATGAGACATCTCCCAGCTCTACACAATCTTTCTTTGCAAAGTTATGGAATTTACAAGTAAAGCCCTTAGTGTTCATTCTCAGTTCAAAGCTACCGAAATAAGAAGAAATTAATTTTTTTTTTTTTCTTGTAAATTTTATAACTGTGCGAAGAAACATCGTGTAGAGCTGGGAGATTTGGCGATAAAATTTAAATAATAAAATTAAGTAATAAAAAATAGAAATAGCTCACGTCGTGTCCACATTTTACGACCGCTGTGCAATTTAAAACAAAATTACTCTCAGCACTTTAATTATAAGACAAGCTAAAATTATATTGCCTAACTTCCACTGCACTTGGACAATAACTAAAAAAAAGTGGAATTTCGGCATTGCCGAATACCCTATTGCCCGACATCCGGTTTACCGTTTCAAATGAGATTACTCTCAAAAAAATCCGTTTTACTAAGTGAACAAACTTTGATTTCTAAAGAAATCTCAGTTACATACCATGACTATAAATACCTGTTATCCATATAGTCTATGATTCTAAGCAGAGCCAGTGCCGTCTGAAATTTGAGCGAACGGCGGTATGGTCGCGATGAAATTACAACGGCAGAACTCCACCAGATACAATCATGCAATAGACTACCAGATCAACCATTAAGTGATTCCAGAAAAAATAATGTTATTCTTGCCAGTCACTCTCAAAAGGCGCAAAACCTACAGGGACACTTACACATAAAATTCAAATATCTTTTCAACAACACACTTGCTCACTCGATCTGAAATTTTCAGATTATTTCTACACATATCGTTTCTTTTCTACTTTAAAAGGTTTCAGCAATTATGAATGCATATTACTGAAAAATGTTTGAGAATGGAAATATGACATGACTTTGAAGAAACTAGTATAGTTGTATTGTTCGAAAGAAGAGAACACTCTTTGAAGTATTGAGTGAATCTAGTCTCATACAACACATTTCGATTATCACCAACAAATATACACTCTGTTGCACGCATAATTTGCAGCATCGGCACAAGTAATAAGCTGAAAAGAATGATTGTTGAATAACTTAATAAGTATATTATATCAATTCACTTAAATAGAGACAGATATTTCATGTCTGATTCTTTTATATCGACCGCTTCTTTTTAGTTACTATCATGAAATATGCTATTTAATTAGATAAAGAGAAATATTAATTTTGTTTGATCATATAGAGTAGGAAAATAAACGAAAAGTAGCGTATTCATAATAGATATTTTTTATTCTTCCATAAAAACAGTTCTGAAGTAATAATGATGTTTTGGTTACTCTTCATTGTTAACGTTCAATTCATTCTTGGTCATGGACTTGATATGATTCAAAACGGAATATTAGTTCAAACTAATTCGACATATTCTCATAATATAATAAACATCACATCATGTGATTCATGCATATGTTACGCTTTAACATCAGTAAATCTTGTAGTAGCATTAAATTGTCTTAATTCATCATCCGTGTGTGATTGAACAGTATCCACTAGATTATAAAATTGAATATTCACAGGGTGATACGCTTTATATTTTCCAAAGCCATACAAGAATGGCCAGTGCTGCTTCTTTAAGCAGCATTACCTCATCCACTACCACTATCAGCACAGTGACTGCCATAAACACAAACAGATTAGCCATGAGAGATACTATCACTATAAATAATCCAGCCTTTCTTTCAGCAGATGCCAATGGAAATATTGTTACCGTAGAGCAAATTAGCTTTGGTGCAATAATTATTCTAAATCAATCGCTATCAATACTCCAACAACATTTTCTATCATCAACACTGAAATCAGTTATTTATTTTGATCGCTACTATTTCGTGACTGTCCAAGGTATTAACCAAAGATCATATTCAATTGATGTGCTTACTCAAGATTTTACATTAATATACTCTGTGGACCTACCAGCATCGTCCGTACCAAGCGATATGTTGTTTCTTAATAACAATACATTGTTAGTTTGTTTCCAAGACTCTTCGATGGTGGTCATTTTTCAATTTCATAGTAATGGTGTATTTCTGACAATCAGTCAAATTATGATTTCAATAACCGATCCGTATGGGCTGGGATATAAGAACGATACAGCATTTTATGTTCTAACATCGTCCACGTGCACTCCATATCTTGTCGTTAACACAAATGGTATATGGTGGTACATACAAAATAGTCAACCAATAATTCTAATTGCAAATACTTTGTCAAGCGGTTTCGATATACATGTTGATAAATGGGGTCGATTTTGGTTGTCTGTTCTCGATGCAGGTGTATTGATATACGCGTCTAATTGGACACTGTTGGAGCAATGGATTCCAACAACAAATCCTTTTAGTATATTTATTGATAACAACAATAATATTTATGTTTCCGACCGAATTAATAATACTATTACTCTTTATCAGCCGTACTAATCACAATCTTTCAACATGGCGAGTATAAAAAGTCTTTCTTAAATGAAAGTGCAGAAAAGGTAATTTACTAGCTTAAACTGAGGCATATAAATAAATGTTGCTTGCTCATTCACCGACCTTTTTAATATATTTGTAGCGAATCTCACATAGTACCTTTTGAAAAAAGATTTGTCTGAAAAATAAAACTGAACATAAAGTGGACCGCAAAAGTTTAAGACACTTTTTATTTTGGACTTTTTCCCGTGAACTAAAGTAGCTAGAATAAATCCGAGAACAGATTTATGTAGAGAACACCTTAGAGTATCTAAGCATGTAAGAAGACAAATTTTCATTTAACTTTAGCAAGTTTAATAAGATGAAATTTTACAAATTTAAA